CCCCAAAACCCCAAAACCCCAAAACCCCAAAACCCCAAAACCCCAGCCAAGCATGTAAACTTTGAATAGTAGAAATAAAATTATTTAATATGAATTTTAAACAGGTCTTTAGGCCAAGACAAGTCACCTCAAGGGTGTTCAGGAGGTTTAAGAACAATGTTTTACTGTTGAGTATCGTCCTTGGTGTATCAATCCTGTGAAACTTTGTCACGGCACAACACACTTGGGAAGGCGATAACTATGATCACTACAAGTTGATCGAAAAAGATAGAGGCTATATTGAAATCTTTTCAAACAGAGATGAAGTATGTACTAGCTGGGTAATAATACCAGGAACTGAGCTCTTGCCATACCCTCTGCTTGCAATAGCTTACTTCTGTGCATTGATTTACCTATTCCTTGGAGTAGCCATTGTCTCTGATTTGTTCATGGGAGCTATCGAAGTTATCACTTCTCAAACAAGAAAAGTATCATACACTGATGATGATGGAAATCCAAAGACAATTGAAGTCCAAGTGTGGAATCCAACTATTGCTAATCTTACATTAATGGCTTTGGGCTCAAGTGCACCAGAGATTCTTTTGTCAATCATTGAAACAGTAGGCAGCTTGGGAAGTACACCAGGAGAACTTGGTCCATCCACAATTGTAGGCTCTGCAGCGTTCAATCTCTTGGTAATTACCGCAGTTTCAATTATTTCGATTCCCTCTGGTCAGACCAAGAAAGTAGATGATTTAGGTGTGTTCTTTACTACAGCTATCTTCTCCCTACTAGCTTACATCTGGCTATACATCTGCTTAGCTCTATGGACGGAAGATAGAGTAACCATCCCAGAAGCCATTCTGACCCTAACGTTTTTCTTCATCCTTGTAGTCCTTGCTTTCTCTGCTGATAAAATCAACGAGCGAAGACTAAAGAGCAAGAAAATAGCTGATGGAGTAGAATCAGATGGCAAGCCTGAAGGAATCCATCAATTATTCAATATCGAAGATTTCTACCACATTTTAAGACTTGCCAAAGAAGAGAAAAAGAACCATGACGATACTATGAAGCCTGAGGAGCATGAAGAACATGAAGAAGAGGAAAAAGGAGCAGAAAACAGACCTCAGAAAGCATTTGATGGAGCAAGCAATCAGGAATCTCATGCTAAGGCTATGGACAAGAGAAAGAAACTTGAAAGTTATCTTAAAGAGACCTTCCAAGTTGATGATATCAAAGATATTGATCCTGAAGATGTAAGGAAAGCCATGGAGCCAAAATCTGTTATTGGCAGAATGAAATACAGAAGAGTCATTGGAAATCAACTCTCAGGAAGAAAACCATTCGTAGTTGTTAAAGGTATGAAAAAGCAAATGGAGAACCAAACAGTTGGAAACCTTAAGAAATCAGAGCTGAATCCCTACGTTGGATTTAAGTGTCTCCATTATTCAGTAACTGAGGGCGCTGGCTACTTAGAAGTCACAGTTCACAAGAAAACTCCAGATGCCTTAGAGATTGGAGTCAGAACCTTAGATGATACAGCCTGTGCTCCTGATGACTATCACTCAATTGATGAAACACTTATCTTTCAGAAGGATGAAATGCAAAAGACGATTAAAGTAGAGATCATCGACGATAACGAGTGGGAGCCAGATGAAGATTTCTTGATTGAACTTTACGATGTTAACACTTCTCACAAACTCAAAGGGAAAGACACCCAAACAAGAGTCACCATCATTGATGATGATGAACCTGGAAAGCTTGGGTTCCAGCAAGCGAAGATGACTTGCCAATCTAAAAATAAGATTCTTAAAGCTAAAGTTGTCAGAAAACACGGATGTGATGGAATTGTCAAAGTAAAATACAAAGTCAAGGAAGCTGAGGGAAAATCTGGAGAAAAGGCCAAAGAGTACGAACACTTCTTGCCAAAAACAGAGACTTTGATCTTTGAGCATGGTGAGATCGAGAAGGATATCCAGGTTAACATCATTGAAATTGAGGATGAAGATCCGGACCGGGATGAAATTTTTGAAATTAAGTTATTCGACATCGAACCAGAAGGCGCCCAACTTACCAAGAAGGATAAATGTATTGTGCACATTGTCGGAGATAATGAACTCGACAACAAAGTTGAAGATATAGAGAAGTTCTTAGACCTCATGCAGAAATCTGAGAATGTATCATGGATCTCTCAATTCAAGAAAGCATGTTTACTCCATCCACAAGTAGACGAGGAAGGAAATATAGATGATGTAACTGCCATGGAAGCTGTCTTGCATTTCTTAAGTATTGGCTGGAAGGTACTCTTCGCAATCATTCCTCCTGCAAGGATGTGTAAAGGCTGGCTCAGCTTTATAGTATCACTTTGCTTCATTGGATTTGTGACGGCTATTATTGGAGAATTTGCTGAATTATTCGGATGAGTCATTGGTCTTAAGCCAGCTGTCACTGCTATCACCTTTGTTGCACTTGGAACCTCCCTCCCAGATACTTTTGCAAGTAAACAAGCAGCACAAGAAAGTAAAAATGCTGATAGTGCTATTGGAAATGTAACTGGATCTAACAGTGTTAATGTTTTCTTAGGATTGGGCCTTCCTTGGGTTATCGCTATCATTTACTACGAATCTAAGAATGAACATTACAATGTCCCTGCAGGAACCCTATCTTTCTCAGTTATGCTGTTCTTGATCACATCAGTTACATGATTCATCTTCCTCATAGTTAAAAGAATACTTACAGGAGGAGAGCTTGGAGGTCCTAATGGATTATGGAGATGGGGAAGTTTTGTCTTCTTGGTCTTCCTCTGGATCATCTACGTCCTGTTCTCATCTCTTAAAGCATATGACCATATTTAAATGATCCATAAGATGAGCTTGATTTAGACTAATGAGGGGTTTTGGGGTTTTGGGGTTTTGGGGAGA